CCTATATCCTCCTATCATGCCTTCCCTGTCACAATTTTTACCGTGCTTATTTTTAATGTAGTGTGGTGTGTTCCTTCAAGCGGTATTCATAAAAACCCTTCACACTCCACACCCCCTTTATAATTTTGCTGGGAATGTTGACAAGAGTCTGTCCTGACAAGAGGTCCTTCCCTGGGTCCTATTAAAGTCTCCCTCTTGCCCCGTCGAATCCCTCTCCTATCTCCCTGGTACATGTATTTCACTCGACCCCTGCCCCTCTCCATCTGTGCTATTCGAGACGTAATTAACCAACCCCTGCGTCTGCGTGACTAATTTGAGGCTAAAACCTCTGAGTAAATCTCATGGTCATGCCTTTCCTACATGCACCACGTACCTTGTAAAGCCTACTGTCAGCCAACTAGCTCCAATCGCCGCCTCGTCTATCCTGTCTCTATCTCTAATACCAAGTATATGACTTGCCATGCCCTGGTTGCTTGTGTGCCAGCCCATAAATGTTGTGGTACTGCTGGCTTTGATTAGGTCAATGTTGAACCAAAACGTTTATGGGTTGGCACACAAGAGACTAGGGCATAGGATATAATAGGCTTGGTATTATAGAAAGAAAGAGGATAGAAACAGTGGAAGCTAGTGCTAGTTAAGTAACAATAGTCGTGATTCAAGGATCATGTTTATGATCAAACACGTCTATTGTTAGTCAAATAGCTTTACTCATTCCAGTTTCTATCGGTAATTCCATGTACATCGCTTCCTACGTCATTGTCTTTTTGAGGAGTGGTAATCTGATGCTACGAATGGCGAAACTCACTGACGATGCCGAGTACAATGGCGGGGAAACGTCTAATAATGTTTTACGTTCACGGTCCTGCTCTGGAAATGATGATGCATTCAATGGTCAAACAACGTCTATACACCATCTTGGTATTCATACCTTCGATTAGACTATGGAATTAGGTATGAAGACGAAGATGGTGTGGTCGCAGTCTCCTTTTGTTGTATAGAAGTTGTTTGACCTTATTTTCGCAACTCGGTCATATTGGCAGGAAGACTTAGAGAAACGCACCTAGTCCGGAGTCCATTGTATGCATGATCATTTACAGAGTAGGACCTGTCATCATCACAATTTAGCCAACAATTACGACCGTTACTAAGGAAATTGAACATCAGGGTGATAACAAAGGAGATGAAAACACTTTTTACCAGTCTGCCGACGCAACACGAGAAGACTGACAAACCTGAATGCTCGGGAGTTTATCGCATCAAATGCGGCAACTGTGAGCAGAAGTATATCGGTGAAACAGGAAGAAAAATCGGCCTACAACTTTTGGGAAAGCAAGGCAATATGAAATTCAATGGAAATGTCAGATCTACTCTAATGATTGTGGGAAAATTCTTCTACCAGTCTTTTATCACCTTAAACGAAATCGGGTGAATACATCTCATATTACTGATTTACTGGTAGTCTCAAAACAATACTTAAAATGCGAAATATATGTACTCAGTGAAAGCAAATAACCAAAAATTGGCAGTTTTCGGTAAGAAACCTTGACGAATTTATAAAGTTGGTTCATGATCAGAGGATAGAAAGAGGAAATTTGCTGGTAGGTTTCGATGTAGTGTGTATGTACACTACAATTCCGATAAACGAAGTAATGAAGGCTTTAGAAGTGATCCTAGATCAGCACCCTGAAATTATAATGGGTAAAAAGTTAGGCAAGTATTAGATTTGCCAATTTGGCCACGTATAATACATAGTTTACCTTCAATATGTATGGGCAAACACTGGGCTTAGCTATGGGATCTTTTTTAGCCCATATTTTAGCTAATAACTATACGGCCCAATTAGAAATTCGTGTGCTTCAAAAGACACTCCTAGTTCCCAAGTTATTACTTCGTTATATGGACGATTACTTTGCTGTCTGGCAACAAGACAAATATAAAATTGGGTTGACCTCGTCTTAAATTGGTCTTGTTGTCAGGGCGACTTATCAGAACACACATTGTCCGAAGTCCTCAGCCCTGCTAGCAGTGCGTTCAACTAAGTCGCCCTGACAACAAGACCAAGTTGTGACAACAAGGTCAACTCACTTCTATAAATCGAAAGGAGATCGCGACCATATCCGGGTCCACATCATCATGGTCTTCATAGCTAAGGCAAATCGAGTTTCGGGGAATTACTTGAGCTAATAAATAGAATAGATGCAAATACTAAGCTTACTACGGAGCTATAAAAGAAAAATAAATTGTATTTCTTGGAGGTATTAGTGAGCAAGATAGGTAATAAGTTAGGTAGAGACGTATATAAGAAACCCACACACGC